GGAAAGGATCGAACTTGGTATAAATAATCATGGCAACTGTCCTCAATATTTGATAAAATAAAATTAAAGATGCCTACTTATCTTTATATTTTTATATAATGTTGCCAGAACTTTTGGTCAGACCTAAGTATGATCGAATTACATGATTTATCTCCTGATAAATCACTTGATAGGACAGCTTCGTCGAATACTGATCGTTCATCTACAATTATTTCTTCATCTCTCAGTCATTGTTCATCGAGTAATATTAAACGTAATTCATCAAATATAAAAATGTTTTCAAAAGAACAACCAGAAAAATACGTGCTTGTCGACAATCACAAAGGGAATCATTCAAAGCCATCTCATATAGACTTGAGTTTTGTTTTTGTAAAAAATGATTATTCATAAAAGGAATGCATCATTAAAAATAAAGTATTTGGTAAATAAAAAATTTCTGCGGGTTACACGGGGACGGGTCGGGGCCTGTCACAAAAATGGCGGGTCAGTCCAAGGAGCTGCCTGTGGGGGGTACGGGCGGAGCGGGTATAGATTTGCCGGGGCACAGGCGGAGCGGGGATTCTCAAAAAGAATATCCACGGGGTTCGGACGGGACGGATTTGTGAATTTTACGGGGCGGGCTCCGCGGGGCATGGAAAATCAATGCCCCGCACATCTCTGTTTCATAGTGTCATTATGAACTCATTTAAATGATAATAATATTTTTTTTTTCATTCAGACGTACCGAAGCCGTCTCCACCCAAACCATCTCCAGTTGTACCGAAACCAATACCAGCACCACCGAATCCAGGTATGTTATGTTGTTTGACATGCGACAGCATTCCCCGGTGAAAAAATTACTTCGTTGGTCCTTTCGCTCACGTTCTACTCGATGATGCCCCATTTTGTTCTGTCATGTACTATTTGACGTCACAGTAAAGAAGTCCACGCCCTCAAAACGATGAAGAAACTATTATAAGTAACATTCTATCTTAAACTTTTTCTGCTATTAGATGTAGTGTCGAATAGTGAGCCAGTTCAGTAGTGTCTAACATTTTTCTGAATGATGTCGTATTCAAAGAATTTTTGAGAACGATGTAGAGATCATACCCAGATGCACTGTAAAGTACTGAGATTCCGTAGGTTATGGAGGTGTTTCGAATATCATACTTACCTTCCGGGTAAAATACATGTTCTTGTACGTAACAATATACCTATTGCTGATAAGTGAATGCATGACTAAGGTCATGTTAGTTTGGCTAATTACCCGGAGAGAAGTCATGTTGTTTGTCCCAGACTCAATTATGAAGATGAGGACCTATGATATTTGTTGAAACTTAATAGCAGCTGTATAAGGAATATTTTATTCGTACCTTAAATGATCCTCAAGATGTGGTTTCTTGTCATACAAAACTTGTATATAGATAATTCTTTGTGCACACTACTATTGACCTCACTAAGAATTATAATTTATTCTTACTTAAAGAACAATTTTCAAAATAAATTTTTATGAAATTTTTTTCTCCGTAGGACCATCGGTTTCAATAAAATCTTAGTTTTGAATTTTAACGAGAAGCTTTGTCGATGTCAAGGTCTCACTAAAATTAAAATTAGTTTATGTCCGAAATTTCTCAAGTTTTGAATTTCTCTGCAGTGAATTCGAAACTGAAACTAAAATGAAAATCATGATCTGAGAAGGAAAAATTCGATAGGAATTCAAAATCTCCGAAAAAAACTTGAAAAGAACATGAACAACTTTAGAAATTGTTCTATAACTTAGAATAAGTTCTATTTCTTACTGATTCTAATCTTCATATGCCGAAAACTTTGATGTGACACATTTGTTACTAAGAAAAATAACTAACTTGATCCATAAACACAGCGTAAAACTATTGAATTTTTACATTCTAAAGATATTTATTCAACATACTGTATTTGACTGTTAGGACACTACTTCTTGTAAATTGTTTTCTTTTTTTTCGATAAACCATTCAGAGAATAATGTGTCTTACCAATAATCCATCTCGGTTATTGAATTTCCAAAAATTATCCGATTTAGTAGTCTTTGCTTACAACCGTTCATATTTTACGCAAAAGTCAAAAATATAGTTCGAAATTCATACTTATTCTCAAATAGAGAAGAATTGTACTCTTCAGAACAATCACTGTATTTAATGGTTTTTCATTGAAGATCGAATGCTTTTAGTTGTAGGCAGTATCTTCTTTTATTTAAAAATAGTAGTTTTCATTTTTGTTTATCAAAAATGTGACAATGAATTTATCGAAACTATAGTGTAGATGATTAAGATAGCAAGTGTTCTCTATATGAGACCAAAACCAGAATTTTGATTACGCTCTGAATCCACATGAATAAACTAGACTGCTAGTTTGAATGAAATTAAATCGTCAGAATTTGAATACAAAATTGTAATTCTTCTATACGAAATATAATGTACAAAGCTGAATATTGTTACTTTCTATTGAAATCAAACCATGGTCAATATTATTCTTCACATTTTGTCAACTTGATAAGTAAAAAATAACCAGAAATCAAAATAAATACAGTTACTTTTTATTTGATGACACATCTGTAACGAAACAATATATTCTATCTATGACACATTAATCTAACAAATTATAAATAGTTAAACAAGACTTGTTTTCTTTTACAATTTCTTTTCTGCATTTTTCACTAAAACAGTTTATCGTATGCTAAGTCTTCCTAAAAAAACATTTCTATCATGACTACTTAGATAATTATTTCCTACAATGACGTTATTTGTTGAGATAGTATGATGTAGCTTTATACAGTGATAATTGATACAATCAGCTATGACTAAGATAGAGTGTTCCCTTCTTCTCTGCTGTGATCTTGTTCACTCTTTATGTACCAGTGTCCTGAATGAAGGACATTTTTTAAAGTATCTTAATTTTTGAATAACCCGTGTCACTTATGCAGTAAGCCTGATGATTCTTTGAAACATCAGCTCTATTCTACAAAAAAAAAGAAGGAGGGCAGATTATGTTTTCTTTTTGCAGTCCGCAAAATATCTTGATTTTCTGTGTTTGAATCAAATTAAAAATGACTCCTAGTTCCATGAGCAAGTAAGGACATGGATCGAAAATAATTTTAAAGACTTTTTCAAAAGTTATGTCACTTAAAAGGTTAAATAAACAAATTATTCGTTGTTCTTGAAAATCAGTCACATTCTGTTTAGTTGTCCTTATTTATATAGATCTTCAAAAATATACATGAAAACGAGAAAAGAACAGTATAGATGAACAAAGATTGCTGATTGTTCAGTAAATATTAAACCGTATCAAGTATTTAATTGGACATTTTTTAATTTTGTTTATTCATTAGTCTAATTTTTCGTTTACCATATATATTGTATCGAAAGAACGACAAGTAATATACATGAAGAGTAGTTATACATCTATATGTTGTTAATGCAATCTTTGTTTTCATTAAGTTGACCGGCAGCGACAAAAATAGTAAAATGGTATTAAAATGCCTTCAAATATAAATAATTATAATGATGTAAAACTGTCACAAAAAATGTCGAAAAATGCCTTTCAGTTTCGCATTAAAATGTTTACTTTCGGATAAGTGAAAATGATTAGAAAAGATGACATAATCATAATAACCATACAGATCATTTTTTGGCATTATTTATGACCTCTTTTCTTGATAGAAAATTATTGGTAAATTTCATATATTCAAATATTTTTCGAAAAATTTATTTCAATTTAAATGATTTATTGCGATTCAAGTAATGTCTCGTTCATCTTCAAAGATGATCTTTTCGATGTCTCATAAAGATTGTACAAATAAATTGATGATAGAAGCAGAACAAAATGAAAGAAAAGTCGAACAGACTATATATTTCTTTTAGCCCTAATTTCGTAGTGATACGAAAAAGAATTGTTCCTCTCCAATCATTACTATTATCGTCTTGTTTATCGTATCACTATCAAATTCGACTAAAAGAAATATACAGTCCGTTCGACTTTTCTCTCATTTTATGCTGCTTCTGTCATCAATTTATTTATACAATCTTTATGAGATATTGAAAAGATCATCTTTGAAGACGAACGAAGCATTGTTTAAATCGTAACAAATCGTTTAAATTGAAATAAATTTGTCAAAGAATATTTGAATAACTGAAACTTATTATTTATGATCTTTCCGGCTAATTATCTTCATTATTCTTTTTCAACAAGAATTTCTAACATTTGCATGAAAATTCACTTAAATCTATTTTTAACGAATAAATCATGCTGTGAGTTTGTTTACTTTCACAATGTTAGTAGTGTGTGACATCTGCGTATAGTTTGAATAGAGTACAAATTCTGGAAGTCATTTAAAATCAGAGAAAATCAAATTAGATAGCAATTTTTTTTCCAATTCAAATGGAATAACATTGAGAATCAGATCCTACGTTTAAGTTATATATAGTACATGTCGATATTTAGGATATACTCATATGTCAATCATAATATAAAATCTTCCTCTCAATTTTATTTCAAACTAAAATTAAAGAGATAGAGTACCGTCCTTCTTGGACAGAAAAATATATAACATTATGGGTTAAGATGGAATACTCTAGCAAATTTCACAAGCCATTGAGCATTTCTGAATGAATATTCTGGACAGAAAAAATAATCAGAAAAATCTGGGTTGTTCAAAATGAGACGATATTTTTCTTAATTACTATTATTTAAACTCGTCAAGAGTATTCCTAGTCATGTTAGATATAGACACGATAGTTATGTTACAATTGACGCGTCAAACTATCTTGGGATGTTGGTGGGTGAGTCTTGCCACTCACACTCACACCTCACACTCTATTTCTTCTTTTCGATACGTGTCTTTCGATTTTTCTTTCTATATTCATTTTTGGACACTCTCAGGCGGAGAACTGCGGGTCGATTCTCGCAGAAAAAACATCAGAAATCAATGAAATATTGCCTTCATGTTCCATTGATTTCCGATGTTTTCCTACGTGAACCGGCGGCTTTTCAATGTCTTTCCTGCCGGTTCCTATAGTATCCCATCATCGGAACGATTGATCTGAGTTTTTCCTTTCGACTTATTTCTTTTCTTCCTTTTTTCATCATATCTTGAGGGTGTGGGTGTGGGTGTGTGGGTGTGGGTGTGTGGGTGTGGGTGTGGGTGTGGGTGTAGGTGTGGGTGTGGGTGCGGGGTGGGGTGTGGGTGTGTGTGGGTGTGGGTGTGCGGGTGTAAGTGTATGTGGGGGTGTGCATGAGGTGGGGGTTTTAGTGTGGATGTGGTTTTGTAGATCTTGGTGTGGGTGTGAATATAGATTTTCTATGAATACACACCAACACCTCACAGCCATACTCTAGCCTCACTCTCGCCCACATCACCCACGCCCACAGCCATATCCCATACCCATCCTGCACCCACACTTACATTTATCCACACCCACACCCTCATGTGTTAGACGCCGGAGAAGAAATTGATGGTAGTGACTCATATCTCTGTGTGACGGGAATAGTTTTTGCTCTCTCTGGAATCGGTGAGAGGAAAAGTAAAAAGCTTCAGAAGTCTGCCAATATTCTAAGACAGTGTCACGAAGGGTGTGGGTGTGAGGTATGGGGTGTGGGGTGTGGGGTGTGGGTGTA